CTCTCTCTCTCTCTCTCTCTCTCTCTCTCTCTCTCTCTTGCCAAAAATAACCTCACAAGCGGGCCTTGTGTTGAGAATGTGGCCTGCAAAGTGAGCGCTGTGCTGCCTCATGGCCGCATGGCGTGATATTTCGCGCAAGGCCGCAATGGTATACGCGAACGACAGATTGCGTAGCGTAGCGTATGCGAGCGACCGATCAGCCAATGAGCGCCATTGGGCCCTGCGACAAAAAGGTACATAAGCCAGCCTGCTCATCCCTTTATTCCCTCTTACCTCGACATCTCACACACTGCAAAAGGCACAACACAGCACAGCACAGCACAGCGCAGCTCCAGCAACACAAAGCCAGAGCATAGTTGACTTGACTAGCTTTCCATCGCACGACGACACGAGCTCATCGAGTACTTCGCCAGCACACGGTCATCATAAGCTCCCTCGTCGCCTCGGAGTCAATCACGATCACAATCACAATCACCCTCGCAATCGGCTTTCAATATGCGCTTCGCAGCAGCAATCTTCATCTCGCTCGCCGTCGTGCTGAGCTCCGTCTCGGCCCTTCCGCTTCCGCTCGGCGAGGCAGCTCCTGGGAGCATCGCCGCAAGAGACAATGATGGGCCCAACGTCGGTAGTCAAGCGTTTGCGCTGACTGTGGACAGCGTCAATCAGCAACTGGACACCTTCGCCGCAGGCTTCCAACAGTTCCTTGCTGGAGATCTGTGAGTCCCTCCTTTTTTCGCGTTGCACGCAGCACAGAGCCCCACTCTCGCGCTTATTGCCGCGCCCCCATTTCTTCGCGCGCCCCACGCAGCGAGCAAGGAGAGACGCTTAAGCTGCTCTTGAACGACCTTACGGACAGTATCCATGCAGGAGCAGACGCTCTATCGAACCCGGCAGTACACATCGAAGGCAAAGAAGTGCAGGGCGTCCAAGCGCTCTTGAATCACGCGTGAGTCCCTGCTGTCCGTCATGATCTTTCTCGGTGCGCATCTGCTCACATGTCCCTCTCGTCGACTTGCCAAACACTAGCGAATCCACTGTCAATGCTACCATCGAGTCGTTGATCGAGGCGCAGTACGCCCTGCTGATGGTGGGCGCAGGCAAGTACATCTACAAATCCCTCCCAGCTCTCGGTCGAGCCTTTGAATCCTTCAAAGATCTCTCCTCCATCCAATCCTACTCCACCGAGCACTCCCAAGCCGACTTTAGCGCAGAAGTGCACAAGAAGCTGGACAGGATTGTCGGTTGGATCAATGTGGGATTGAATGCTTTTGGAAGAGAGCGCATTTCGGCGGCTTGGATCGAGGAAAAGGGTATTGCGCCTTGCGATCAGTACACGGACAAGGGTGTCGTTTGCAAGCCGAAAGAAGAGCACTTGGAGAGCCAGGAGGTGCCCGAAGAGCAATCGCAGACGCAGTCGCACGGCCTCGGACCTGATGGACAGCCCCTGCAGCTCGAGTCTGATCCCACGACCAAGGATGGCCAGCCAGTGGCTGCACCGACCAAAGCAAACGACGCACAGCCAGAGTCCAAGTCGAACGGCGCTGACCAACCTCCGCCACAGACTCTCGAGCCCAGTCCTCAAGAGCAACCCTCGCGTCTCACACAAGCCGGCAACGATGGTGCCGTGCCTCCCAAGTAGTACGCGCAAAGAAAGCAGCAGGGGAAATGATGGGGGCGGCAAAACTTTCAAGAGGAAAGGGTCCGCTCCCTTGTGCCTCTCCCCATTTCTTGCGAGCCAATGTGGAACATTTATGTTTCTCTGTACGAGATTGAACGAAATCTGGTAATGAATCTGCTTGTCCAAACGAGTACCACGCGTCTTATCGGCGCTCGCGATGCCGTGACGATGGGCAGACAAGCTTCAGAAGGCGCAAGGACCTAGCAACATCTCATTGTCGATGCTGGCTCAGCATCTCTGGTCATCCTTTCATCTTCAATGGGATAGACGGGCATGTCGAGATGAGGTGGAGCGATGTTTGCGCCTTCGCGCCAATCGTCTAGCAACAGCTTGGCACAGCGCAGACATACGGCTAAGCGAACCACACATCATTGGCATCGCAGTGAGACGCCGCCTTTGCACGTCAAAGAACTCCCCAGATCTAAATGGCAGCGGCAGAGTAGGGCGAGAGGGGCCAAATAAGCGCTTCAGCTTTACTGAGACGAATGATTTTTCCAATTGCAGCACCGCACCGTCGACCCCTTCTCACGAGGTACTCACCTTAAACGTCTTGCCATAATGTCCGCTGACGATGCTTTCGCCCTCAGGATCCACATCGACGCTCATCACCTTGTCCGCCGTCCCAGGTACGCCCGAGCCCGAGTCGAGGACCCTGAGCAGTTGGAAATCATCCGCCGACCAAAGCTTGACCAATCCATCGTAGCCAGCAGTGATGAGGTAGCTACCGCTCGTATCCATTCTCATCTCTCCATCCTCTTCCTGCATCGAGTTCAAATCGACGCTGGCCGACTTTGCACCAGCTAAATCTCTCATTCGGCCAAAGTGAGACTTGCGCTCCAAGTCGGACTTGTACCAGCAGACCTCCGAAACGCTGCTCTTGCCGACGGGGAGGATGTTCCTGCATCGTAGTTGTCGCAAGTCCCATATACGTACCGTGTCGTCGCCAGATGAGGTGGCCACTTGGTAGCCGTTGGGAGCGAAAGAGAGCGAGAGGATTTCCCGAGCATGTCCATCCAACACCATGGCGGATCTGCCTGATCTCACATCCCACAATCGACCCAGCGCGTCCAGCCCGCTGACCATGGCATAGATGCGCGTCAGCTACCGAGCCTCGCTCATCTGCACCTCAACATTGCTCACCCGCTTCCGACGAGACCACCGTCCGGGTGCCAGTCCACACAGTAGACCTCCTTCGAGTGTCCTTCCTGTACCAGCAACTCTTTCCCACTCTGCACGTCCCATAGCCTCCAAGTCCCGTCATAAGACGCCGATACGAGGTGTGAGCCAGTCGGATGAAAGGAGATGCGGGCTACTCGTGCGTCGTGGCCCTTGAGCGTGCTCAGCGGAGCCGTCGAGCTAAACACGAGAGCAAAAGTGCAGGGAAGTAGCGGAAATGAGTCGGGATGGACGAGCGAGTGGATCAGAACCTGTGCAACGCATACACCTTTTGTCATGCCCAGCTAGACCTTACGCACCTCTTTTCGCCTTCCTTCTTCGGTCTAGGCACCGACCAGAGCTTGATGAGCCCATCGCTGGCCGCACTAGCCAGCTGCACACTATCGTGCGGATTCGAGAAGCCTGATCCGGCAAGAGGATGCCAGGCGAGACCCGTGACTCTCTCATTGGGGTGACCTTGCAGAGCGCAAGTCGATGGGATGATCAGTGAGTGCGACACGAGACCAACTGGAGCAAAGAGTGAGCACTCACCGCCCAGCTCTGCGTAGACCTTGGCATCCGGCAATGTCCACAGCTTGACGCTGCCTCCCCACGAAGCCGTGGCCAAAAATCGACCATTGGCCCTGTTCTCTTCTCCCTCGTGATGAAACGTCTTGCCGGGAGAAAAGCGAACGCTGGAAATGGGTCGCGTATCGCCCAGCTGGGATCCGAGATTCTGATAGCGCTATGATTTGAAAGGCGAGCAAAGGCGAGCAAAAGCGAGCAAAGTGCGCATCAGCATTGTGGCTCAGAAAGAGATTGATTCCGCGGTTTCAAATGGCAGCGCGCGATAGAGAAGCCTATTCCTTTTGCTGCTTTGGACCCGCATGCGTCATTGCGCACCTCCTCTCGTTACTCTTCTTGCCTCAGGTGTCCGCGCTGCGCCCTTTGCGCTCGTCATTCAGACCATCTGCAAATCTCCTCTGGCCTTCGCGTCCTTTTGCATTCCTACCTCTGCACAACAGAAGCTTTGTTGCACTGCGGCCAAACGTGACCAGCCATCCGACCGGCCGCTCCTGCCCTCCTGTCCAGCATACTCACTTTCAAAGGATCATAGATCTCCCTCCTCCTCGCTACAATCTTTTGCAGGGAAATCTTGCTCTGAGCTAGCTCGTGCGCGTGTCGTGTCCGGGCACTGAGATGTTGAAGCAGCATTCAAGCGGCGAAGCCGAGGAGGCAGATGAGAAAAGCGGAAGGCGGTAGCGTAAAGCGTGAAGAATCAGTCAGTCGTCCTCGAACAAGCCAGGCTGCGTTTGTGGGAGACTCTGTCTTCGCATACAGACTGGTTTGAACCAAGGACGCGCGACTCACGAGATCAAGGACCATCCCGCCAACCTTCTCCGAGCGCTCAAGAGCTCCTCTGTACCTTCTGTAAAGAACTCCTCCTCTTGCTGAAGATTTGCAAAGCGCAAGTGGCATGAGTTGGATAGCAAAGGCGTGTCGGAGGCGAGCAGCCAGAGGTGGGTGAAGGATCAGTGGAGCAGCAGCGGGAGCGTCAGTGTGCACATTCTATGCCACCCACGCTGTGCACCACGACGTCGGACTGCCATCTTCTTTCGCGCTGCTTGCCTTGTCTCCGCTTTGCAACATCTCTACCCTCCTCGCAGAGCACAACGTCGTAGCGCTCGACTCACCTCATCCTCGCTCTCGCTCTCGCTCCTTACCTCCTCCTCCTGTTCCTCCTCTCCCGCCTCTTTTCTCCTAATCTTTTCCCTCAAAAGGCATTCCCTCAGCCTGACGCGCCTATCATCCTTGCGCTCTCCAAATGTCCAGATGGGCTCCTTCAGCTCTCGAAGACGCTGTTGAACGCGCAGGTCGTCGGTCGGCACGACGAGCGAGTGAGATTGTAGGCGCTCGTCCAGGGCTCGAGTGAGCGTGGCGTCGGCTATGGACACGTGTGCCGAGGTTGAGGCTTGCGCATTCACTGAGAGGAGAGCAGAGCGAAGAGTGAGCAGCTGAATCGAGATGTTAGAGCGGGACAAGAGGCATAGAGAGAAGTCGAGCAAGGGCGAAGGAGGGGTATCGGCACCAGAACAGGCGCATACATCCACCTTGCCGTGCATCGGCATTGCCGAGGAGATCATCCTGTCCACTCAAGGCTGTTCAGGACGAGACAGCTTCGGCTTATCGATCGAAGGCTGAGTATAGCAGTACCAGGAGTCTGCGTATTCTTGCACCTCCTCTCTCTTTGGGCAAGTACGCCGAGATCGACGTTCATCTTTGCCTCTCCTTCTCCCTAAACATGACCCTACATCCAAGCCTCGCCTCTCCGCCTGAGCCCTTCACAGTGCCCCAACAGCCCCTTGCCGCTCTTTTTGAGGGCTCAATGTGGCAGCTCAGCACGCCAGCGCCCCACTCCAGGCAGCGCACACTCACCATTCTGCAACTGATCCAACTCTACTCCGTCCATCATTCGCGTCTCCTCCTCCTCCTCCTCCGAGCCCGAGCCTGCTCCTGCAGATCCGCGTCGATCCACCTGCATCTTGTCTCTGCTGAAGCGTGCGGACCAGCAAGGCCTGATCAGAATGGGCTCAAGTCGAGATGGACTTGATCGTGCGGGACTGCACGTTCGGCAATCGATGGGCTTGAAGATTGGATGGAAGGCCGGGTGCTGCGTATGCGTGTGCGTGTGCGGGGATAGACGCTTGAGACCCAGTCGAGCGAGCGCGAGATGCTATGCAGCAGTCAGTGAGTGCGATGCGCTGTCCTTGGAGATTGTATCGAGCCCCTTCAGACAGGGTTCAGCGCAATCGCATTCGCATTCGCGCGCGACCTGGCCTGATGCTCTGCCTGGCGCCGAAATGTTCGCACGCGAGAGTGCAATGCTAGAATGCTCGCCCACGCAATCTGGGACCAAAACGGGCAGCGAGACTGCAGTGCGTCGCTGCGTCGGACAGTGAAGTGCTGAAAAGGAGTTGGAGGAGGGGTGTGCGCGTGAGGGTTCAAGGATCTGGACCTTCCATATGGAGCTTTCGGTCTCTGAGAAACCTGAGATGCGGAGATCCGCGCGCGAGAGTGCACGCGAAAAACAGCTGACATATCGGCCGATAGACGCGCCCCGCGTCGCGCCTCCACACGCACGACGGATGCTTCGGCGGGGCGCTGGCAGCGTTCAAGCGACGGGTGACACTTGAGTCCGGCACAGATACGCAAAGGGCGATGGAGTACCTGCACGGTCTGTGCTGAGGAGCTTGCCACATTGAGGAGAGTAGCAAGGGAGAAAGTCAGGCAGACAGAAGATGTCTTGGTCCGGTGATTCAGCGCTTCTGCTTTGAGGCCACAGGCAGAGGCCACAGGAGCCAGGTCAGTGGCAGGTGCAGCGCTACAGTCGTCCGGGCTCCAATCAAAGCTGACACATCTTTTCTCTCACCTGTTTCCTTGCAGTGCTCATCTGGCCCTGCTAATGCGCAGCTTCTTGCTCAGGCGGGAAAGCACCCTCAACAAGGATTGTTTAGCCATCAACAGCTACCTAAACACTCCCCACATGAAAGTGATGTGTGGCTCAACCTTGCTTTGAGCACCTGGCCAATGCTTGTCCCCTCACACGCATGCGTACATGCTTTTGCCAAAGAAAAGCAGTCATCGATGGAATCTTCGGGTTTCGGAGTTTTTATTGACGTATTTTGGGGCCGGGCTGCTCAGGCCTTGATGGCTCGCAAATCAGCTGTATCATTCGAAAAGACCCGAGAGAATAGAAGTGCTGCTTAGGGAAGATGTGCGATGCGAAAGGGAGACAGAAGTCGAAGCCCACAGGAAGAACTCACCTAGGGCGAAGGTCCAGCATCGTCCTCGCCTGCGAATGTTCTGACACAGAGGTCAATGCTCAGCAGACGCTCAACGAAAGGCCGTGCGCTCGCCATAGCGCTGGAGACGCAGAATGATTGAATGATGCTCTGCCTTGCTCACCATCACTGTCACTACATATCGGGCTCGGACCCTTCAAAAGCTCTATAAGCTCGTCCTTGGCCTGAAGGAGCTCGTCCTTGGCCTGAAGGAGTTTGTCCTTGGCCTCGATGAGTTTGTTCTTTCCCTTGATGACTTCATCTTTGAGCTCAAGTTGGCGATCTTTGGACGCGATTTTGCGATCCTTGGCCCCGATCTGACAATCTTTCATTTCCAGCTGATGCTTCAGTGTCTCCACTATGTGCTCTTGCTCCTGCTCATGAAGATGCTGCCGGATAAGACAGCAGCATAGCAGCTTTGTGAGTTGCTGAATGGATGGCTCCTTCCAAAGTTCTGCTTTGCCTTGCTCACCATCACTGTCATTCCATATCAGGCTCAGACGCTTCAAAAGCTCTATAAATTTGTCCTTGGCCTGGAGGAGTTTGTCCTTGCCCCTGATGACCTGATCTTTGGCTCAAGTTGGCAATCTTTGGACACAATTTTGCAATCTTTGGACGCATCTTTGCAATCTTTGGCCTCAATCTGGCAACCTTTCATCTCCAGCTGGTGCTTCAATGTCTCCACTATGGGCTCCTGCTCCTTCTCATGAAGATGCTGTGAGAAAAAATGGCAGCATAGCAGCTTTGTGAGTTGCTGGATCAATGGCTCCTTTAAAAGTTCTGCGCGCACCGCGCTTAGGCAGCGCACGACGAGGCGACATCACTCCGAGGCACTCACAAGTGCCGGGGTCATGGACATTGTCAGTCAAGCCTGGTGTCCTTCTTACTTGGGGGAGAGAGCTGTACAGCAAAGACAGTTTGCAAAGAGAGGCAAGCGTAGTGTGTCGCCGTTGCTCTACAGAGGGATGATGTAGTTTATGGTGACAGCTGCGTGCATGTGATCTAGTGCACATATCCATGTGTGAGTGCGTAACAGGTGGTCATCAGCCCGTGGTCGCCTCATCGTCATCAAAAACAATACAAGATCATTTGCGCCTTTGCACTCACTCCTCACTCGCCTTTCAGGCCCGAGGGTGAATGCGTCCCGCCAAGCAGTTTTGCCGCGTGCAATGACCACGGAGCAGCAAGTGGCTCCCTGCTGCATACAAGGAGCGAGGTGGAGCTCGCTTGCAGATTGTGACGGGGTGAGGGAGTCAAAGCACCTGACGCCTATGCCCCTGCGACTTGTGACCCTCGCGGCTGCCCTAGAGACAAAATGGGGGAGATCTACGTGAGTCTAATCCAGGAAAGCTGCGCAGGAGGGATATGTCATCTGACCTTGCTGCCCATACAGTCAATGGTTGTCGTGTTTCTTTACAGTATCATTTTTACCCTGATTGTAGCAGTTGTGACTGGGCTATCCAATGTCATCATCTTTCACATTCTACATGGTCTTTGTCAGGGAATCAAGGACCTAAAGGAACAGCTGCAGCACAGCAAAGCTGAAGGAGAGAAACTTAAAAGCAAGAATTTGTCACAGGCAGACGAGCTGAAAGGCGTCTACAAGAAAGGGTTCGAGCAGCAAAAGGCGTTGGCCAAGTTGATCAGCAAGGCGCAGGCAGGCGTTTCCCGTTGCAAGGCCGCCGTGCCTCTGATCACTATCACTGACAAGGCAAAGATGGGTGTGCTTGATCCCTGCCTGCCCCACGTTCAGCCGCCAACTAGCAAGCCCCAACATGTGATGTCCCTGCCCCACCTTCCTCGTCGCAATTTGCACGCTCCTCAGATGCTCAAAGACCCCCTTGAGACCAAAGAGGATGAGGCTGCCAAGCCTGATGCACCACTCAAGTCGCCACAGGCTCAAGAGGACAAAAAGGTCCACAAGCGCACTGCTGCTGCTCCAAAGGCAAAGAAGTATAAGAAATGGGTCGCCCCTCACCCATGGCGTTCTTGAAAGCAACAAGACCTACCTTCGGGATCGCAGTCCCAACCTTCCTGCCGGGGTCCTACATCGAGGGGTTGCCACTTCTCGCTATTCCATCCCTTTTCGGACCGCGCAGTGTTGCGCTAGACTCCTCTGATCCCCTTCGGACTTACTTGTAGTGGCTCGAGTGGTACTTGCACGAGAGCGCCTACCAGCCATTTACCCCTGCCTTTTCGCCACGACCCCCGTGACTCCCGCACTGCTAGCACAGCGGACCCCATGGAATGTCAAGGTTGATCGTCGTGTGCGAGTGCTACAACGTCTCCATTAATGTGTGCGCATTGTGCTCTGGTGGCCTGAGAGCGCAGACAGAACTCTGAAAAGTAGTGCTCATCTTCACTAAACAAGTTGCGGCAAATCGGCAGGAGCCCGGCTGCCAAGAGGGACTCAGCGATCTCATTCGAATGTGAACTATATCCAGACTAGCAGCCCGCGCAGCTACAACGATTATAGGCGGTGGGATGACTTGGCTGTGAGCGGCGCGTCGCGATAGGCATGATCCCCATCACGCGAATCCTCATTATGCAACTTGTGCTTCAAGTCACGAGCTTCTTGATGGTTGAAAAGCTTCAACACTCTGGCGCACGGCATCGCAAGACTCTGACCCGGACAGGGGTAGTTGCGCAATCACATCCACAATGGCTCGGTCACTCACGACTTGTGTGCGAACAGAGACTCAACATGCAAGATCTGGCAGCCGCGGCGTGCGGCCTCGGATCAAGGAGTGTTCATTCACATCCACAATTCTTGATACAGTGACTCACATACTTGAAATCCGCTCGTCGTTTCGAATGGCGGCTCCTCAATCAAAGCTTTCACATACCATTTGTGATTGGTCGTTCGGCTCTCTTTTATACTCGCTTCTGATCGAGATCAGAGCGGCGATCACGAATGGCTCGGTCAGCGTGCTCACACGCTCCCATTTGTGATTGTTGATTCGCGTTCCTTGCCTTTGGCACTATGAGCCAACATGCAATCACAGCTGCGAGCATATGCTGCATAATGCCCCGATGCGCTCTCGTGAAGGTGAAGCAATCAAAGTACGTGCCAGGCTCAACGGCACCCAAGACTGACGCGGTGCTCGCATATATGAAGCAGCGCTCTGCACACGCGCGCGGTGGGCCACGCGGACTGAACGCGAGGAATTTGACGTATAAATCACGAATTCATGATGGTTGCGCTCTTCCTTCCTGCCTCTCAGTCGTGTATTCACATCTTTGTTGCCTTTGTCACCTCTTTTGCACGCTCAAACCAGCTCCACTTCTCCGCTTTCTCCTCCTTTAGGATTCCTCAGCGTTAGTCTTCTTTCCCTCTGGGTCTTGCTTCCTTACTATTCTTGCACAATTCCACAATCACAGCGTCCCATGGGGCTCTTTGTTTCAACAGCTCATCAACAGGCTGTGCTTGCCTGCATGTCAGACAAGCTTGGAAAGCTTCCAAGTCCAGTCTGAGACGTCTACGCACAATGAAGCTACCAAGCCTCCGCAGCGCAACTCCGAAGCCCAAACCTGCGACCTGCACACTTACAGCAAGGATCCGCATCCATTGTCGCCGGATGACACACTTACCCGTGGGCGTTCTCTCCGGAAAAGGGCCCGTTTGAGGGCTCAACGGCGTACTGATCAGCAACCTGTACGCCGCGTAGATATCGAGGCTTCTGGTCGTGGCTGCTTGAACAGCGTTGAGACGGCAGCGGCTACGCAGCCTTCACACCACAACCTACTCGTCGACTGCTCTCCTCCTAGCTCCGCTCGTGACATCGCGTCACCTCTGCGCCTCGTATCTCCCCCTTTCCTCGCTCAGGAGACCCTGGAGCGTGTGGAAGAGCTCGCCTCAGCTGAGATGGAGTCAGTCTGGACGCTGGTCTTTGGGATGGAGCCAGCTTGTGGACCGATCAGATCTGAGCCCCGCACGGCTTCTACCACACGTGTGTCGAGCCGCGGACCCTCTTCGCTCTTGGAGACTGTTGTCGTCGCACCCAGCGAGCCTTGTCAGTGCCTTCTTGACCCGCTCAGCCACGCACACCAAACCAAAGGCGTACCAGTCGCGCTCACCGGGTCCATGTACCCTCACAAGAGACTGCGTTTCTTGCCTCACCTCGGAGCTACCGTGAAACGGTCATGCAGAGAAGGAACCGTGTGACGATGAGCCCCGGCACGACGCAAACGGATGGGCATACGAACAATAGCCTCAAGAGTGCGCAAAGCTCCAAGAAACGCACGGACGAAACCATATTCAGTCGCAAGTCGATGAGTGAGCCGACCCGAAGCCCGGCAAAGCCTCAATCTGGAAGTCTCGAGCCTTCCAAAAGGTAGCCCTTGTCTTCAACGCAGACCTTGAACCTGGAAAATACGGCAGAGGTTGCGCTGCGACAAAAGTTCGAGGCATTGCTGCTCGAGCGCTCAAGCGATCAGCAACCGCGTGTCAAGAGCTACAAGAGCGTCTCGACTATCTGAAGCAGGAAGAGGTGGTTGATGGTTTGGACTTCAATGAGGCAAGGCTTCAACTTGCAGAGTCTCTCCTTGAGCTGCGACTGAGCAGAAGTCTGAGAAGGGCACTGCTTGACAAGCGCAATCCAGATTACAAGGCATTCTTGGAATAAGGCTTGGCTAATCTGGAGAATCGCATCCACGCGCAACGCCTTCTGAAGAGAGTAAGCATCAGACTTTCGAAGGTGCACGATCGCACAGGAATTCAAAGGCCACAAAAACTCATGGGGGCCCATGCTAGTGGCCCGAATGATTTGGCTTCGCAAGCCGGCGTGGAAATTTAGGCCTCGACTCCGATCAAGCAGCTGTGCTGTCACAGTGACTTCGGAGAGATTGTCTCGCTTATCACACATTACGCTATCACGCTCTTTCTCCGTGTCCGACTTCTCGCTTGCGCCTCCGGATCTCCCAGAGGAGAGCATTCTATCCATACCAGACTATCACAAAGCGTCTCGAGAACTCTCATTGAAGCACACATGCTCCGGACCTCTCTCGTCAACATCACGAGCATGCTTATATTCACCTTATCAGACATCAGTACAGCAAGCAGTCCGCCCGAGTCATCTTGCAGCCCCCAACAGCGAGCTGCGGATCTTTACGATTTCTCTCTTGGACTTCCATCGACATGTAAGCCTCCAACGAGCGAGAACAGCCCCACTCACTCAATGGGCCCCTGCAACATTTGAGTTTTGCGTTTCAAACGCCCACATTGACCATGCGTGATTTGACATGAGGGAGCAAAGTGTGATTCGAAAAGAAAGAGTGTGGTGTGAACGCATACACTTCCCTGGACATGTGAGCGTGAGGAGATCGTGTTGTGAGAAGAAATCAAATTTGTAGCGAGTGGGAGCTCAACTGAAGGAACTGGAAGAGACTTATATACATCCATAGAGAGGAGGCCTGTGCGCTATTCTGACCGTTCAGGTGCCTCATGCAAAGAAGGGGATCGTGCACTCAATAGGTCGGACCTCTATCATAGACGCTGCGCTATGGCTAGGTTCGCACAAGCTGTACGGGATGAGTCCTGCTTTGAAGACCGATCGTGGCGTGAGAACGCCTGTCTAGGACGCTCAGGGGGGAGAGGAGACTGGTAGGCACCGCGAGGCTGCTCGACGGGCCCGTCTGGTCACCCAGACCTTCTGGCAGCAAAATTGAGCAACGACGTGGGGCTGTGCGACCAGAACTTCCAAAGCTGCTTTGTCCTCAGAGCACGCGCTCGCAAGAATCAGCCTAGGAGGGGGCCAGGCCAGTGTGAGTCTGCACAGGGAAGGCTGTTGTCAGAGTCGGTGCGGATAAAATGCCCGACTCGGGAACCACACTGAAGGCAAAGCAGCGGGCAGGCCGTACAGGCACGCCAGCTGTCATGTGCATGCAGTACACATGACGACTGCCAAGCATTCCACGACTGACTCGATGGCTGACCATGCGACGGCAAAGAACGCTCGTATCACCTTTGGGGTGATGATAGGTATAATCGGCCTGAAAGGACGGAGGAGACGCGTTTGCGTTTATAGGACAACTGTGCGGCTCGCTCCCTCTCCCTCTCCCTCTCCTCCGTCCCTTGCCCGCTCCTTTTCCGTACACTCTTCCACACAGGCAATCGCCCTTAGCAACTTCCTTATTGTCTTCGACGCTCCCAATCTGGGCCAGCAATCAGATACACTGGCTCTCCCGCTTCCTCTCCTTCGTCCTTCACCTTGTCCGCTCTCTTCCCGAGCATTCCCGCGCAGGTATCCGCCCTCAGCATCTTCCACTAACTCCTAACTCCACCCACGTTCTAAGCCAGCTATCACGTGGCCGTCCAACGATATCTCTTGGGCATCTGGGCCCACTCCGGTCCCTGTGAGCTAAAGGCATTGCTTTGTGCAATGGATACGTAGTTGCGCTCCAGCGATTCTCTGAGTCTGCTCTGCGCTGACAGCATGTCTATTCAGCAAGTGCTTCCAGTCGACGTCCAGCACCAAGAGGTCCTTGCAATGGGGTGGGACTGACACAGACCTCTTAGGTCCGGTCAACGGCGCAAAAAAAGACAGAGCTCTTGTAGTGAAGTACGATGACGAACCGGACCAGTCGAAGACTGTGATTCCCTATCTCTCTACTGCTTCCGTCATCATCCACTCATCCACTCTTCTTTGCCACAAGCAGGACGACTCCAGCTTCAAGACTGCTAGAAAAAGCAACATCGAGGTCGCATCCCTGTCATTCCACACCACCCTCGCCAATGCTTCCTGCGAGCATTCGTCCTCTGACATCACCAGTTCGACTGCAACCGCTCGTGTGAGTCCTTTGCTCTGAAGGGTCATCGTCCGACTGGCTTGAGGCCAATGAAAAGCTGAATGGCCTCACTTTGCAGCCTGTCTTCGTTCCAGCTCGGATCAACCAGATGTCGGAGGTCCAAAAGCTCAAAGCCGAGATCTCAGCCCTCCGCGCCGCCATGCGCTTCAGCGACGTTCGTGAGGACCTTCTGCAAAAGAGACTTGAGGCCAGTCAAGCAGAGACTACCAATGCTGTTGAGATGGGCAGCAAGCATAGGCTGAGCGCCACCAAACTCAGCACTCAACTCAAAGAGAAGGACAAGGAGATCCAAAGCCTCAATAAGGAGCTACGTCTCTGCAAAGACCAGATACTGGAAGATGGATCTCAGATTGAGAAGCTGGAGGACATGGTCAGAACGCTCGAGGATGAGGTCAAGAAGCTCAAGCTCAAGGACGATGAGCGCAAGGGCGCTGTCAAGAAGCTCGAGGAGGAGGTCAAGAAGCTCAAGCTCAAGGACAATGAGCGCAAGGGCGCTGTCCAGAAGCTTGAGGAGGAGGTCAAGAAGCCTGAGGCCAAGGACGATGAGCGCAAGGAAAAGATCAAGACGCTCAAGATCAAGGACAATGAGCGCAAGGGCACTGTCAAGAAGCTTCTGCAAAAGAGACTTGAGGCCAGTCAAGCAGAGACTGCCAATGCTGTTGAGATGGGCAGCAAACATAGGCCGAGCGCCACCAAACTCAGCACTCAACTTGAAGAAAAGGACAAGGAGATCCAGAGCCTCAATGAGGAGCTACGTCTCTGCAACAACCAGATACTGCAAGACAGATCTCACATCGAAAAGCTGGAGGACAAGGTCGGAACACTCAAGGATGAGGTCAAGAACCTCAAGCTCAAGGACGATGAGCGCAAGGGCACTGTCAAGAAGCTCAAGGCCAAGGACAATGAGCGCAAAGAAAAGATCAAGAACGTCGAGGATAAAGTCGAGGAGCTCGTTCCTCGCGCGTTGTCCTCGACAGAGGTCAAGGAGATGGACAAGGCCGCAAAGGCCATTGCTGCCATCGCCTCCAAGCACAACACTGCTTGTTAGGCCACGCATCTCAAGCAACGCACGTTATGAGAAGTGTGACGCGCGCCGCTCATGCTTCACCTCGGAACTCTCCTACGCTGTTGCTTACCTGCTCGCTGATGGTACTCCTCGCGCCCTTGAGAACAGATGCCGTCTCTGACCCTCCCCCAGTCCCGCCCAGCCTTTCTTCGTCCTGCGGACGGTCTACAACATGCCCGTGCCCCCAACGTAAATACATAACAAGCGTGAGGGAAGCGAGCAGGCAGTCGCCTTGTTGCGGGTTTGTGCACGATGTGCACGATCAAAGAATACGATTGTGAAAACACCGAGAAGGGAAACGTTGCTTGCATGAGAGCGTGCGGCTTCGATCTTTGACGAGAGGGCGGGATGTTGCTCTGAAGGAGAGCGGAAGACATTGTTACCAAGTGGCGCGTGGGACTCCGTCCGTCTAGTGAGCAGAATTGCTCAAGCTTCACTGAGTCGATTAGATGATGCTTTGCAAGGCAACGATCGCTCCAACGACAGTGATGACGATTGAAGCAACATAAAAGAGTTGTTTCTTGACGGCCCCCACCAAATGGCTGTCCTCCAATCCGGGGCTTTCTCCTAGCCAAACCTCACGAAGGGCATCGTGCTCCTGACGAAGCTGCTCCAGCTGATCCTCTTGGACAACGTTCGCCCCAACCTCGATTCGTGCCTCGACTAGCTCGCGCTGAAGCCCAGCTTCTTGAGCAGTATGGGCATAGATCTGCAGACGTGCCTCGTCGAGCTCGCGCTGAAGCCCAGCTTCTTGAGCAGCGTGGGCATTGATCTGCTGACGGGCCTCGTCAAGCTCGCGCTGAAGCTGAGCTTGGTGATCAGCGCTCGCGCTCATTTGGGAGCAAGTCTCCTCGAGCTCGCGCTGAGATGGGGCTTGTTGGCCAGCATTCACGATCGCTATCTGATGAAGAGCATCGTCCAGCGCGCTGCAGCTGAGCTCCCTGCGCAATGTGAGCCCAAATCTGGAGACGGGCCCGGTCGACCTCGTGCATCAGACGCCATCCCATCTGATAGGCGGAATGCATAACTTGAAGGCACTCTTTGAGAGAGGACGCCAAGTCTCTTCCACCTTGCCTCGCTTCTTCACGCTGCTGCTCCCCACTTGTCAGGGAAGCGTGCGCTGCGGACAGACTCGCACGGAGCTCTTTGATTTTGACCGCTTGCGCCTCAAATCTTTGTAAAGCGAAGCGCGCCATGTTGAAATCCGAACAAAGACGCCGGAGTTCATTGCGTTGCAGCACAAGCTCATTCAGCAAGACACGGTGATGCCCGCGGTACAGCTAGAGTTCGATGAACTCGGAGCGGGAGAGTGCACTTGCTTCCGCCGATGCGAGCTCCTGAGGCGTGTAGGTCAGCTTGTTGTACAACTCTTTGTTGATGCGCTGGAACGCCAAGAGATGATCAAGAGCTTGATGATCACTGCGCTCTAGCAGCGTCTGGCCGCTATCGAGCTGGCTCAAGGTGTTGGCCAAGGTTGAATGACAAACGCGGAGAGCAGTCACCGCAGTCTCTTTGCGGCTTTTGGCCGCATCGCGCTGCCTGCGCAGCAAAGCAATGTGGGGCTTCTGACATTGCTCCCTTGCAGCTGCAGAAGAGGTGGTTTGTCTGAGAAACCCTTCCTTGTTGTCGCAAGCTGATGTGAGCTGGAGTTCAAGTTCCACCGAGCAAGCCCCCTCTCCAGCTGCTTGAGATTGCAGCTGCTGCATCTGGCACTGCTGTATCAAGAGCTGGGTGACTAGCAATTGTAGAGGTCAGATGACGGCGGACCTCTTCAATAATCTGCCTTTGAGCAGCTAGTAGCTCGCGATGAGGCAGGAAGGTGCCCTCTGTTGAACGTCGTCGAGGAGGAGTGGGTTGATTATCCCTAACCCTCGGCGGCTGTTGAAGGAGCTGCATTGAGTGCAAGATCAGCATACAGTCACCACAACCCGCAAGTATCCGACTCTGTCTCAAACACGGTGTCTGCAACTTACAATGCTCGTGCGCACAGCTGAACCAGTACTATGATCAAAAGAAGTGGTGGACCTGGAGCCGCTTCCAATGCTTGTGTCTGAGCTTCCAGAGACCGAGGGAACCTGGGAAGAGAGACGCACGTAGGAGACGTCCGCATGAGTACTGCACATGTGATTCGGGTGCCTCCCAAAAACCCGAGCCTCCTCAGATGAGCAAAGGTGCCGAGAGAGTGCTACTCACCAAATCTTCCAAGGTCAGATCTGGCGTGCGGGCACTTCCCGCTTGCCTGCTGCCCTCCGCATTGTCGACCGACACGCCGCCGTCCATACCGAGAGAAGGAGAGCGGGCTGAGAAAGTAGCCGATCGGATCGGCAAAGAAACGGCGCGGTCGCGCCGAAGAGATTGAAGCTGTAGAGATTGGATGCCGGGATGGGCTTGAAGATGGAGGTCAGAGAGTGGAAAGATGATATTGGCGAGTATGGAAGCGTTGAGGGGAGCGGAAGAGGTAGGAGGCACAGCAGCGCTAGGAGCACAAAAGGAGTGAGCGGAGGGCGATGTGTTGTGGTGGTGGATGAGATGAAAGCGGCGGGAAACACTGAGCTCCTAACTTCGTTCAGTCTCTTACAACAAAGCCAGACGCAAGGTGCTCACCAACATGCTCGAGTCCAGTAAACGCTGGCATAATACCATAGACAGAGGTGGAGCTGAGGCTTGCATGATCGCGCTCAAGTCATCGGTCGTGAGTGCATGACCGCCCGTGACGGCACGAGAGCCTGATTGCTGGCTGGCGCGCCACCTGCAGGGTGACCGTTGAGCTTGCTTGGAGCTGAAGGGCACGGAGCGCTCAGGCGGGCTCGGATCGTGAAGTGAAGCGGAGGACTGCTGACAGTTGCTGATGAAGCGACTGGTTGGCCAAGCTCAGACTGTCGTGTGACTGTCACGAGCTCAGGTGTTTGCTCTCGATGAGCCACAAGCTTGATGATGTGAGTCGGAAAGTGTTGCTCAGAGTCAAGAGTTCAGCGCGTGGCATGCACGCACCCCACGCGCCTTGCACATTGCTCAATTGCCGCACAACTCGTGAAATTTTGCGCGCTGGTCTTTGTGGCTGCTCAAGGTGGATGCATCGGTTTACAGTCCTTGCCATGTTGATTCGAGATAGCCAACTTGTGACTCCTGTATAATTCATCGGCTGTACCCACCACCTTTGGCTTTCCGCAGCCTTCCTGACAACCCCAATTGCGTCTCTGATAGACCCTGTAGAGTGCCAGCTTGTCAGCGTCGTTGGCCAGCTATGCCCAGAAAAATCATGCTAGCTGACACCAAGGAGCAGCAATGTTTGTGCATATTCAGCAAGCAAGCGGTTCTGGTGCTCGACCTGCAAGCGCAAGGCTGTCTCCGTCTTCCTTGCCTCGTAGCGCTTGGCCAGAAGAAACTCTTCCATTGCCTTGTGACCCCTGCGCTGACAAGCAGCCACAGTACAAAGGGCTGGCTTGCCAACAAGCGGCTTGCGTTCCCTTTGACTTGCAGCAACCTTGGTGCTGATAATCGTCATCGATCGCTTCTCGATGCGGACGACTGGTCCAAACAAGTCCTCCAATATTTTGAAGGCCTTCTTGACAGCAATGATCCTCGTGCAGTTCTTGCAACTGGGAATGCAGATGGTTACAGCTGGCAGAACAACTTTGTCTCCCGGCTTGATACTCTTGGAGCGCTTTGCAAAGTCATTGGTCTCAAACAATGTGCGAGCTGAACAAAACTTGCTGTAATCGAGGTCGTTATAAGAGTTTGTCCTTGTGCAGTTCTTGCAACTCGGAATGCAGATGGTGACAGCTGGCAAGACAACTATGTTTCCCAGTTTGACACTCTTTGAGCGCTTTGCAGAGTTTCTGGTGTGCTCAAACAATGTGCGGGTTGAGCAAAACTTGCTGTAATCAAGGTCAAAGAAGAGTTTGTCATGTTGTGTAATGTTGAGAGGAGTGGTAAGCTGGAAGATGGGCGAGGAGAGTCAAAGAGCGGGGGGAGCAGAGAAGAGTAGGGCGGAGTGAAGCAGGGAAGGGCTAGTTCTGATGAATGTTGCCATCTTGCACTTCTTCCACAAACACAATGTGGAGAACCAGGAGCTCAAGAAGCAGCTTTCAGCAGAGCAAAGCTGATGGAGTGTATCTGAAAAGCCAAAATCAGTCACAGGCAGACAAGCTCAAAAGCCTCTACAAAAAGGAACTTGAGCACCAAAAGACCTTGGCCAAGCTTATCAGCAAGGGGCAGGCGAGACCATCCCATTGCAAGACAGCAGTGCCTCTGATCACTGACAATGCAAATATGTGTGTGCCTGAGCTCTTTCTGCCCCAGGCTAAGCCAGCTAGCAAGCCCAAACACGCAATGTTGCTGCCCTACCTTCCTTGTTGCAATTTGCCTGCCCCTCAGATGCCCATAACTGTCCCCATCAAGGCCAAAGACAAGGAGGCTGCAAAGTCTGGTGCACCACTCAAGTCACCACAGGCTCAGGACAAAAAAGATCTACAAACAGGCTGCTGCTGCTGGAAAGGCAAACCAGTACAACAAATGGGTTGTACCTCACCCATGGCATTCTTGAAAACATTTAGGGCAATCTTTGAGATCTCGTTGTGACAGCTTGGTGCACTTCCGACCTTCCTGCCAAGGGCTCACCATCAATGTACTGCCATTCCTTGCCCTGCACCTCCCCTTTTTTGACCATGCAGTGTTGCATCAGACTCCTCTACTTGCCTTCCCACTCATTGGTAGTGACTCAACCTTCAACTCATTTTAAGTGACTCAAGTGCTACTCGCACACCGGCTCAAGCAAAGGTTGCTGACAAGATGTCTCTCCTCCTACCACAATTTGCTTGCTACCTGACCCACCATGGCAAAGCATCTTCAGCTCGTTGACTTTGCTCTCTACACACCATACAAACAATGAATGTCCCGCTTCTTTCAGCATTGGCTTTTGCTTTGGATATGGCTGGTGTGGCTGGGTCCTTCAAGATTGCCATCCTGCGCCTGTTTCACAGACTGAATTTGGCTATGAAGGAGCTCAAGAGGAAGCTGCAGGAGACAGCAGCTCATAAATCTGCTTCAAAGATCAAGACTGACTTGCAAGCAAGGTCAAACATCTTCACAAGGACAAGCCCAAGCAGAAAAAGGCAATGGCCAAGCTGATTGGCAAGAGGAAGGCCAGACAATTTTGTGACTACCCAGGAATTACACGGTGAGAGCTGGTAGAGCGCTGGAGGCCCTTTTGGAATGTCAATCTTGAAGCTACAGGTACATCGAGGCCTTGTAGACACTGGTCTGTGCTGCGTCTAGAACCGGACATCTTTGTGCTTAGGTGTGGCAATACTTCCAAGCTCGGAAGTGTTCGGAAGACCATCTCTGGCTCCAACAATACTCTGCAGCCAAGCAGCACGCCACAAGGCGAGCCAGAGCATTTCACCACACTGTCAGAGTGCTCAAGGGTCACCTCACAACCCAGAATATTAAGGAGTCCTTGATTTGACAAGGTAGCGCTCTGTTTGCGCACTGGCACGTCCTGCTCTCCAGTCTGCACTTGTGTGCCAACAAGCTCAAGTTTCAACAGCATTAGCACCACATCAAGTTCTGTGACCACGCACTGGCACCGCATGGTCCCACCCTCTTCAACCCCTTCAACAGCAGCACGCCCCCCTTGAGACGTGAGCTCGACAGTGCAAGAAAGAAGCTCAAGGTCGTCAAGGTGACCAACTTTGGTTTGTACGCTGTACTCACGGTTAGGATGGCTTTTGCGGCGATGCATATGAAAATGCTTCAGCTTCAGCTTGCTTCGCTCACTGAAGGCTACTAAGCCGTGATGATGCCAGGGTTCTTGAGACAGTCGATGCTGAGTGGGATTCATATGCTTGCTGTTTTAATTGGGATGACACTAACCCTTGCTTTGATTTGCTTGTTCTGCGCTATGCTCAGGGCAAGATACAGTACAAGAACAGGCTCTTGGAGTTCAAGAGCCAAATGACGGCTGTAGTCCACGAGCGCAACACTTGCAAGAGCACAGCCAAGTCTTGGAGAGCTCAGTGGTCAGCATCGGACTCCATGCAATAACTTTCAGATCCTCAGACTGAAGGTCTTGGGCATCATTGAACAAGTCTGTCAAGCACGTGCAGCAGGCATCAGAGAGAACAAAGGACTCTGAGCACAACTTCAGTTTTCTCAAGGCCAGGCCAGTACAACCAGAAATGAAGTCATCCAGTAGCGCAGGAGTGCAACAAGACAGCGCAAGCAAGTGCTAGCCTTGCAGCAGCAGGCGGAAGCCACTACCACTTGCACTGATTTTCTCATTCAGCGTTACGCCAAGGGGCAGGTCCAACAAGTTAAAGAAGAGGTCTGGGATCTCAAAAGTTGGCGTGCAAGTGAGAGGAGGATGAGACGGGTCTTCAAAAGGGTGATTCGAACTTTCCTGCTTATCAGAGGCAGCAGTGCGCTTTGCATTTGCGACCAGACTGCAATACCCTGGCCGGGCTTGGGTCTGATCAAGGGAGGTCGTTCTCAGCTGAGTCTCTAGCCACCTGGCATGCCTCGCCTTGGGCAATCTGTATGGTCAAATTTTTCCGCCAGCAACCTCGGCGTTGCTCCACTTGGCTTGACAACCTAGCATCGTCCGACCCCGCTGCATTCCGCACCTCGAGCTTGGGCTCAGTATGCTCTGCGTGGATCGTAAACTCAAGCTAGCGCGCAAGCTATGCATTTCTCTTTCTTTGTTCTTCGAAAACCCTCGCTGCACAATTCCCACCTGCACTCTGAATTTCTCACCGCTGAAACACTTTCACCAATGGTCAATGTCTCTAATCTTCTTGCGGTAAAAGAGATCCGATCGTAATTTTTGTCGCTGACAGATTGTCACGAGAGCCAACGTTGGTGAGCGCTCCATCTGCCATTGCAACTCCACAATACTCCTTGCTTTTCGCAGCGCATTTCTCTGGGACTCTCTTCATTTTAGCTGCATGCCGGCCCAGCGTTCTCCGTCAATCTGAGTCATTTCCGCACCAGTCTTTACGCGCCCCTCTTCCATCTGTCGCGCAAAACTATACACGCCGCTTCCCTCGGACAAGACTACAGAGTGGTCAAAAGGCAAAGAGGCCGTGCTGTTCCTGCAGATGGCCTTTGTCCCCGAGAGTGGCAACACAACAAATTTTACCGGAGCTGCTGCACGGACGAGTGACAATGTCGAGTGCTAGGACGGAACGAGCAGGGCGGTTTCCACGACGTGTGAACATCGACGCACCTGCACAGCGTGAACCTTTTCAGATGCACTTCATGACAGCCGTTGAGCAGCGACGTAGTCGCACGCGAGAATTAGAGTTCCTTCATTCCCGAGCAGCATGTCATTGTCTGAATCTAAAAAGTTGGTTGAGTGGCCGCAGAAACATTGCGGGAAGAGCAAAAACGCATGGCGCTGGTCCGAGCCCGAAATGCATCTTCCTCCGCATCGGTGAGGTACCCGATGATGGCACGTTGTGAACAGAGAAAGTCGAGCTGAAACGTCGTGATTCGTAAAATTGAGGAGTCGATTGTGCCTGTGAAAGAAGAAGAAGGGCGTTGCGCTTGGCGAGTCGAGTGGTTGGAGGGAAGGGTTGGACGAGCCTTGCTGGTCTGCGGCGTGCGGATGGTGCAAGCGTTCTCGGTTGCATGGTAGAGGGGTTGAGGTGCTTTGACTTCGAAGTGTGTGCTCCTATCAGCATCAGCACGAACACGACCTTCCTACTCGGAACTGCTCGAGTAGTCTGAGTCGGGTCCCGCGAAGTCATCGTCGTTGGCCGTCAGCGAAATCGCTCCTGAAGAATTTGGCGAACCATACAGCACGCGCAGTCCACTGTCGGTCCACTTGAACCAACTGTGCGAGCGTGGACCGGTAGTGTATGTTACGCCTTCGTGCGAGCGCATTGAGCTGCTCTCGCCGGCGTCTTCTCTTAGCTGCGTGACGAGGGCGAGGGCCGAAGGTCGTGGAGCCTGTTGAGCCTCGGTCGCCAGCAGCACGCCACCAAGAGGTGCAGAGCGCTGAGGGGGTAAGTATTTGCCGGAAGGCAAGCTCGCGGTACCTGTGCCACCAGTGTTGACAGGCTCCCTGCTTCGGCGACTCTCCAGACGGTCCACTTTGAGCCTCAGCTCTGCGATCGTTGCATCGTCGCGTTGCTTGACTACCCTGAGCTGAGCAATGTGCTCGATGAAATCGGCCTTTTCAAGTTCAACCACTTGACGCTCGAGCTCGAGGGATTCCATGGCTTCGAACTCTCTCGCAAGGCCAGCTTCTCCATCCTCTTTGTGCTTCAGGACCTCCTTCTTCAAGCTATCTATAGCGGTCTTGTTGTCCTCAAGCTTCTTCTTCAGCTCGCTGTTGTCCGCCAAAAGTTCCTCATTCTTCTCGACCAGCTCATCGACCTTGATGGTGAGGTCCATCAGCTTCCCTACATGCAGGTCCGCCTCCCTGTCAACCTGATCGTATTGAGCCCTAAGCGCGCGATTCTCTTCGCCAAGTAGTTTGTTCTCCCACAAAAGAGTTTCGTAATCCCTCTGATCGCGTAATTGAGAGGCTACTTTCATTTGGGTGACTTCGCGCTGAAGCGCCTCGTTGCCCTTTCGAATGTCCGCTTTCTCTTCGTCATCGCATCGCTTTTGCTCCCGTAGATGCTCAATCAGCTCATCTTTCTCGCGCATACATTGTTGAATGGTCTGCATGGCTTCCTGAAGGGTGAGCTGCAAGAGTAGCGAGGCACGTGGCGCACATCAGCTGATGTGCAGGCAACGCTCACTTGGCAGCTCTGCAGGAAGCGCATATACTCACTGTGGTCTGAGCGGAGCTCATCTTGAGGCTTGGAAAGTTGTCAGAGCGTTTTGTGAGAGGAGGTGCCGAAGGTTTGCTGGGTAGGCAGTAGCTGAAGAAGCTGTTGGTTGGTGCGCTACGATTGGCTTGCTTTGGCTTGTCGTGCACTGGTGCTTGTCCGACAATCCTGCTGGGTAGTGCTGGTACCGCGCCGCTGGAAGTGGAGGCGTGGTGAAGGGGTGTAGCGTCGAAGGATGAGACTGAGCGGGAGGGCGAAGGCAGGGCTGGGAAGAGGAGCAAGGGCGGGGTCTATAGTGAGAGGGTGGAGGTGTGAGGGACTGGAACGACGGCATGTGGGAGGGATGGACGTGAAGAGCGTCAAGACTTGCTTAAGAAGGCATCGCATCGACTTCATTCAGCCTGCCCATGAAGCCATTGTCGGCCCTGCTGATCGAGGAGATGCACACCCGCGCCTCCATGTCAGGTAGCGGGGGCCGTTGAGTGCGTACGATCGAGTTGGGTCCATAGGTAGGCAAGAGCGCTACCAGCACGCGTGTCTTCTGCATGTTGCGCACGAGTCCATTCAGTGGTTGAACGCTCTACTGTCGATGTTGAGCGCAATGCAATGCTGCTCCTGCTCGATGTTGCATGGGGAACGAACATTTAGCTCAGAGCTCGAAGTTGAGTGAAGATGAGTGCCGCTGCGACCGGTGTGCGGGCCGTGGAGCGGGCGGCGGGCAAGCGTTCCCGTACGATACGCGCCCAACGAGCAGACGCACAGACGCTCAGCGTTCCAAGCACCATCAGCAAGCCCGACTCTGCCTTCGTGCTGAGCCGAATCAGAGTAGCGCCCAAGACCGGCCCAGGCGCCATGTCAGTCTTGAGTGCGTGGCAGTTCCAAAGCTCCATGAGTGAAACCGCAAGCAACCGCTCCTGCGCAGAGCAATCAGCAACAGCGAGCGCATCTTCTCTGCAGATCACGCTCTCGAACGCTCGTGTTTGGATCGTACGCGGTACCTCATCCAGAAAACGCGTGCACCACGCCCCGCGGCGTCACGAAGAGAAGACGCGCTGCCCAGCAAGGCACGCACGCTTCTTCGCACCGCGGCTCGTGCGCGCGCTCGCTCGTGCCGCCGGCATAATCCCGCCCGCGCACGCACCGCGCACAATGCATGGAAGACGCGCGCGCGGAGAATTCCACGCGGACCTGATGATGCCCGCGGGACAATTTGATGCACGGGTCTATCGCGCAGGGTCTTGGCAGGCACATATATGAGCCACCAGCACACGCACACCCACACCCACACCTCCTCCCACCCCGAACCAACACTCACACTCCGCGCGCGCGCGCGCGCGCACCCGTTCGCACATACGTGATTCGCGAGTCGCGTCGTGCGCGATTTGTAAAGCGTGCCCAGACGCTTGCCGACCGACGAAAGGCTGGAGGCCGCATCTCATGAATCAGCTTAGACTCTAGCCGAACCGCCTTTGACATTTGCAGTCCTCGACTCGAGACTTTCAACGTGAAAAAGCCTGAGCATTGGACGACGGCCGCGATGATGAGTTGAGATGAACACGAATCGTTGTACAATGAAGTATGAAAGCGACTGGCAAAGGCCGAAACAGGATGTGCAAAATGTTTACAGCTGTTCAGTCAGATTACTGCACGCGACCCGCCGTACGCTCAGCGAGGTTGCTCTGCGCCTCCGGTCGAGTGAGTGGAACGAGCCCAGCGCTTCGAAGCTGCTCCTCCAGCGTTGTGACCCGCTCCTCCGCTTGCTGCCTGCCGATTGTCTCGCGATCCAGCTGGCCCAAAAGACGCCTGATAGTCTTCACCCAGCTTTTTGACTCAGACGACGACGATTCCGCCACCGGATCTCCCGACTCGCATACCGTTTCCCACTTTTCATGAGCGGGGGAACTGTCTTGGAGTGAATAGTCCGCGAATTGCTCATCCCTACCGACCTCCGCGTCCTCAAAGCTCAGTTCGCTTTCGTCGTCGGTGGTGGTCCACCCGCCATCCTCCGAAAGGTCGTCGCAAGCGTCGAGAAACTGCAGTGCAGTATGGCGTGCGATTCTTTCAGCAAGATCTTCTCATGAAGAAGAGACTCCTCGAGGCAACAGGCGATAGACTCACCTCGATGTTCGCGTACTGGCGCTCGTCTATTGCCTGCTCGACGTCCGAATCGTCTAAAATATCCCCCTTTTGGCCCGCCGCGCTTCCTTCCTCACCCTTTTTCGCGACGTCCGCACACACAATGTGCCTTTCGGCCGCAGTAGCGCCTTCAGCGACGCTATCCTGTTTTGCGCTGGACTCCATCGCGAGTTTTGAGCATGAACAGGGTGGACGAATGACTAGGCTATAGCACCGTGTTGATGTCAGTCTGAGAAGAATCGAAGGGCATGGCAGCGTAAGCGACGAAGCATGGGTAGGCCAAACACATTCCACCTTGTGGTGCCTCTTGTCAAGGGGCCTATGCAGCGCCTCCGCGACAAGTAGGCCATCGGCCTTAGAGCCAAGACGTGCGGTCGGAATCTACGCACCTCTTGAGTCTCAAGCAGAATTCTGTATGCCTGTATGCGCTACAGTTGCGTCTTGGCCCGCCTTTCCGCTTCGACTGGGATACTGGCTTGTAAACAAAGTTTCGAGGCGGACTTCGTCTTCTAATAGTAGAGGAGGGGCCGGATTGGATAAATCAGGAGCGCTTTAGATGTCGACTTGTGGTCACAAGTGACGACGCCAGGCTGAGAGACGTTGGGTGGTTCATAAGCGTGTGTGCGAGGAAAGGGCAGAGGCTGTGATGGTGAGCTGCTGACGACTAAGCGCGGCGGAGCGTGTAGGTAGCGCGCCCTGAATTGGTTGTGATGGTGAGCTGCTAGTGACAAAGCGCGGCGGGGCTTGTAGGAAGCGCACCGTGCAAGGCTTGAGCACAGACCATCCGCCTCATACTGCCCAGCTACCCTTCGCGCCCAGCACGCCTGGCGCGTCCACGTGGCCGATGCGCACGGATGGACGATCCACCCGTGCCTCATTCAGCCGCTTGCTCTTGAGCGAGCGAATTTGAATGTGAATCATACTTTACGAATGCCTCATTCCATTTCGCACCGCATACATGTGGTCGTGAGTCACGGCCTGATCAATGAGCGCTTGACTGCCGCTGCTGCGCACTCGCGTTCGAGCCTCATGTATCTGAGACGAATGGTCTGGATTGAAAGCTTCGCAGTCTGTTCTCTGTTGTGCGTGTGAGTGTTTTGCAGAGGAACGTGTGAGAAAGCATGGGAGAGGAGGAGCGAGAAGGGAGCCGCGGCAAAGGTCGGTATAGCAGGGAGGTGGGGAAGCTGCCCGGACGAGAACGTTGACAGCAATAGGAGCGTGCAGCGACGCGAATTAGCATGTGCGTGGTTTGGCCGCAACGAGCCTGGCTTGGGTCCTCTGTTTGCCGAAACACCCCGATTTCGCGAAGCGTAGCATTTTTGACGAATGTCGTCCATCTTCCTAGCCAGCACTCTTCTTGGACGCGCGAATCTTTTCATTCTCGAACCTTAGATGCTAGTCGCCATGAAGCGCGAACTTCTCAGCGGATCGCGCAGATGCGATGATTCTTGTTGTTGCATCTCTTGTTTGATGTGTTACGTCGACCACATTCTATCCCCAAACCTCAGTCGAGCATCAAGCACATTGCCGCCAATACGCCAAAGCTCCTCCTCGCTGTCCGAATCGAGGACGTGAAAAGAATCGACCAGCTCTTCCATCGCCTGGACACAGGGCTCAGCGAGCTGAACGAAGTGCTCCTCAAGATAGTGTTGCAATTCGGCTCTTCGCTCTGTGTTCACTTGTATGTGATGACGGACCGACATTTCATCTTCAAAAGCGGTCGAAAGAAGGAAGGATCGCACACTTTCGTCGCGGATCCTTGCATCGCCAGCGATTGACCTTTGTTTCTCTTGCACTCCGCGAAGGATCTTGCGCGACCAATGCTCGAAGCGGTGGCATTGGCTGATCCCGGTCCATGGCCTTTCAAATTCTTGAATGAAGGCACGGTCTTTGTCGTTCAGATGGACCATGTCCAGATTCAGTTGGTTCCAAAGAGATGCATAGCCGTCGTCGGAATCTCCATCCTCGTCTGCGTCGTTGGAGTCTCCATTCTCGTGTGCGTGACCGACAAAAAGCAATAGACGTCGGAGATGAGCCTTGATTTTGATGATCGTGACGACGATTGGTGCGATGCCCTCAACTGCTGCGAACTCCGACTCCGTAACCTCTCCCAACAGAAACTCTTCAATGCGGGAAAGCTGGCCAGCCGTCATGGACAAGGGGGCGCGAGACTCATAGTCTGGCACCTTGATTTTGTCGGTCAAGTTGCACACACGGGCGTCGAGACTATGATGGCATTGATCAACGCAGTGTCAGCTTGCCCACCATTCGGCGACTGAGATAAAGCCCTGTTCAACTCCTTTTGTGGTGCTCACCTTTGGAGTGTAGGAGAAGTGGCCATGATTAGTGCGAAGAGCCTCGCTCCATGTGGTTTCCTTGGACACGTAAGAGATCCTTGGCCAGTTTAAGGTTCGCGTTGTTCGATCGTATGTGTGCTGCGCGAAGTGAGAGCAACTGGATGCCACGTTTGTTGCTCGTATGTATGCTGTGCGAATTAAGAGCATTTGAAAGATTATCACAATGTGCACGCCCGCTGAAAAGTGAAGGCACGGCGCAAACAGGCAAGGTTTCGATGCTGGTGGCTTAAGACCAGGAGCAGAACGAGCCTTGAGAAAAGCTTCAAGAATTCGCGCTCGCACGGTGTGTGAGAACAAGGTGGGTGTTTGATTTGCAAGCTTTGAGTTGGAAGCGCTGTGTTGATCGAGCCGTGAAGGCGAGGAGATCATACTGATCTACTGCCGCCGCCATGCACGGAGTGCGCGGGCTCATAGCTACGATGCGTGCGAACAGGCCAGCCTAGCATGCAGCTGAAATACGGGCGCGTACGCGCGGCGGGCACGAAGCTCAGTCGATCCACCGGCACGCTGCGCCTAACGACTCCAGCAGCAGCGCGCAAGCAGAGGCACGAAAGCATTCAGATTCGTGATTCGTGATTTACGCATGCATGCCCTCTCGGGTTCGTTTCATCTGACACGACCTGCTATTCACCTGAGACAATCAGGAAGGTCTGTTGATCCTGCCTGCGCGACTTGCTCGCGCCCCTTGCCATGCTTGTTCTGCAATGATTTTGATTATCAGTGAAGGGTGAAACGCCGCCGCGGCGGTACCGCGTCGCTCTCTCTGAGCGCATTCAGCAGTCATGGCTCTGAAAACAGTCACGAGTCACTCTCGGAAATGCATGCAGGCACATTGCGTGCAAAAGGCGACACAGCAGATGACCAAGTAACAAAGCAAGAATGGACTATTCGGCTGAGAGGAACCAAGCATCGGGTAAGAACTCGGTCTGGCAAATATGCATGAAGCAGCGCGAGTAGGGAAGTGAGGAGCGGCTTGAGTGATACGTCTATGCATGCTTGAAGAGAGCAGCTCCAGCTGTGTGGCAGGATGTTGGAAATTTTTAAGCGTAGTCTGGACGAGAAACTTTGTATGCTGTGAGAAGAGAAGAAAAAGGGGGAAGGGAAGGGGGGGGTGTCTTGCCTTGAAGTGCGGCCGCTGACTTGGCCATAGCGAGGAATACAAAACTACGCATTTGTGTGAGGGTTGAGAGCCGTGCGTCGCGTGTTGTAAGCGTCGAGGTTCAATCTTGCCAAGCTTGAATGAACACCCCGTATTTAGCAAGACATGTCAGATCTGCAGAATTTCAATATATCGCAGTTGAGGTAAGCAGCCGCGCGGGTGCCGAAGCTCGAAGTTCCGCGCTGCTGAGGCCCCTCACTCACTCGGACGTGTCTTGCTCGGTGTCAAGACTTTTGGATGCCGCTGGGGCAAATTTGGCTTTCAGGAAGTCAAGACGTGCGCGTCTACATGAAGAGGCAAGGCGAGGTGAGACGGTAGTCAGCGCAAGTATCAATAAAAGTCAGCACTTGACCGGTGTGCATTCACTCACCGATCCTGCCCATCGTCAGCTCTTGCTCTCGTCTTGTATTTTGGAGGCCTGAGCCACTTCTCGATGAGCGCCTCGCCGCTGTATTCTTCCTCGATATCGAGGCTCGACTGGCGGCACTTTGGAGCAGCGCGCCAGATATTCAGCTCCCTCGACTTGCCGTCAATTATCTGACGGGCGATCCAAAGCACCGCCTTTGTCTCCTTGAGCTCGCACTGAGCAGCTGCAAGCGCCGTCTTGCCATCGCAAGGTATGGGCATCTTGACTGGCAGCGGCGATTCGTCGGACTTGTAGTCGCTCTCGCCTCCTGAAGTAGATCCGTCGGCACACTTGAAGAGCATGGGAAGCAGAAGGTAGTCATTGGTATGTCCCTCGTTATCGGAGACGGTGGTGTCGCAAAAGGAGCTGGAAATTGTGTCCTCGCTTTTCAAGTAGGCAAGTCGAATGCTCGCATCCGGGACGCGTGAGCGGCGAAGCACAGACTTGGTTGGGCTGAGGTGGGCGCGCATTGGTGTCGAGGTCATTGGAGAAGACATGTTGAGGAAAAGTAGTGAGGAGTGTAAAGTGGCGCGTCTAGGCTGGAATGGGTTGGTAGAAGGACGAAGGTGATTGTGGTCATAAGTCAGAGGCATCTGCCAGCTTCTCAGGCCGACGCGAAGGATGAGATCTGGCAAAGACGTCATGATGAATCGGCAAGCTTATTGAGTTAACATAATGTCGACTCAGGTCGGTACATACGTTGAGCGGTACATGTCCGCTCATCGAGCATGCAAGTCAGGCTGGTCAGGCGTTGCCTACCGCTGCCGCTGAGCGCAGTCCGTCTGATGGACACGATAGGCTAAATTGCGCACAGACAGCTGCCGTCACATTCCAAGTTCTGGGCTCTGTTCAAGGTCGGAGGGCTGCACAAAAGCAGTCACCGTGCTCGCGGAAACGAAGTAGTCTCATCAAATTGCAACGGCTGGCAAAAATTTGAAAGGGGGAAAAGGATATGGACAGGGGCTCGAAGTAGACAAAAGAGGATAGGTGCTTCGCACATATCCGGTCTTTCCAGAAGGTTCGAGTTCGCACAACATCTTCGCCCATCAAGCTTGCGTCTCCTCTGTCTGGAGACACGCGACGGCGTCTTCGATATTCTTGCGCAGAATTTCGCGCTGACTCTCTGCGCGCTGGTATTTTTCGCGGAGCGCTTTGAGTTGGGCTTCCAGCTCAGCTTTGCCATCTTCCGAGACCTTCAGCATACGCTGGAACTCGTCGAGCTCCTGACGCTTGATCTCGATAGTCGCGTCTTTGCTGTCGAGCTCGGCCTTGAGCTCTGCAACTTCTTGAGTCGCTTGCACATAGTGCTCCTTTGACAGTGAAAGTGCGGAGGAATGAGCAGAGCGAGCGCATCCGCTCGCTTGAGAAGCAAACCACGGAAGACGGGGCTTGCTCAGTCGCTCACGCGGCCGCGCCATCTCCAAGGAAGCGTTTCTCGCCGCAACCTCTGCTCCCACGCCCAAGTGTTGATCTGCGGGCATCCCGCCAGTCAAAAGTGTTGATCTACGCGGCAACCCGAAAAGCTTTCAGGCACCAAAGCACTCAAGCGATCAACTCGCCGCGCTGAATCTGCATGTTCGGTGAGTTTCGCGCGCGGCCGGCGGACCGACTTCGAGCGCGCGCGCGCGCGCCCACGTTCTAGCATGACGTAGGTGTGCGCGCCTGCGAACGATCAAAACGACGATCGAGCGAGGAGCGTCTTGTTGACTGTCTGGCAACGCTCTGGAATGTGCTTTGAGCGCTATCGTGGAGTGTTGAGGCTCAACGCTTGGTTAGAGCGTCTTCAGAGGTGCGTCTCGAGTCGTTTACTGGACGAGCGACTTGCAACGTTTGGTGCACGAGAAGCTCCAAGAGCCTCAACGCATGCAAGTTTCTCAGGGCAAAGCTTCGCAAGCCGACCAAGACACCTGGAGTCACACATAACAGTCATGCTCGCTGACACGAGCATCGTAATTCGGCCGCAAGTCTCAGTGCACCTCTGATACTGCTCTTTGGGGACATTGGGTACATTGATGCGACTCTCGAATTACATCTAATCTGTGTGGATACAAGTGTACGAGCAATTCCGATCCAGCTGCTTACGAGGATCGAGAGCTGCTGTTCGCTGGGCCTACCTGATTACGAAACGATTCAGGAACATGATACCACATGGCCTTGAATGCTTCTTGTGCCTGTTCCAGTTCGACCTCTGCTTCATTGGCAGTACCTTGCAGGGGACGTGCCTTCTGGAGATCTTCCTCGAGTTCCTTGATCCTGAAATGAGCAAGTTGGAGCTCAATGGCGAGAGAATCGTTGCGTTTCGTCGCCTGCGCCGCCTCAACCCGATGTTCGCGGTCGACACCAGCGTGACGTCGTTCCATGCTCTCGAAGTCTTTCTCCAAGTTGGCTAGACTTTTCGCAAGATACACTGCACGGTTCTCGGCGATTAGACGCGTCCTGAACTCCTCTAGCCTTTCCTCCTTCGCTCGTTTCAGCTCCTTGTTTGCTTGTTCTAGCTCACTTCTCATTTGTTCCTGCGCTCGGACAGGGGCAAAGATTCCAGTCCTCATAACCTTGGAGCGCTCATTCTAGATGCGGAGAAGACATCGTAGTGAGCATTGAGCAGAGGGGGCCATCCTTTGCCGTCCTATCTATCTGGGCACACCACTTTAACGTACCTTCACAGCGTGGCCCACGCTTCCACCCTCAGCACTACTTTCGGCGGCTTTGTTGATCTCAGCATCCTGCACGTGGAATCTTCGACTGCATCAGTCGTCTTCGATTGCTCCGCGGTAGAAGTCTCGTGCGGACTCCGAGAACTTACCAAAAGTCTTTGCGAGCACCCTGCGAGCTCCGTAGCTTCTTCGTCTCCCACATCCTCCGCAGCCTCAACATCTTGTGTATCGGAAAGCCACGAACCCTCTTCGCCCGAATCGGCCAGCTTCTTCTCCGAGCCGCTCATTTGAAACGGGCTGGCGGTAGAGAGAATTGGGGAGGCCGGTTCCGCTTCGCTGTGCTCCCATACCGCTGAGAGCCGGTATGCATCCTCATCGGATCCCAAGCGAGGGGTGGAGGAGCAAGGAGAAGGCGTAGAAGCGCGAGAAGCTGAGCGCTCGAGCGATGGCGAGCCGTTTCTTACAGCTTGACGCTGACGGGCCCGCTCTCGAGCAGTCTACGTGAGCAGAAGAAGAAGACAAAATACGTCAGACTTTGTACGTGCAAGCCAGGCTACTTGCCGTGCAGGGCACTCACCTCGTATCGATGCTTCGCAGGGCTAGATTTGCTGGTTGGGGTGCGCTCCTGCGCGCGAGAAGACTGATCCAGGTCCTGCTTCGCCTTCCAGCGTGGTTCCGACATGATGATGATTACAGCTGACTCCGACGACGTCGCCTATATGCGCTGGCGAACGATAAGGCTGAGCTCTGCTGAGGGTGGCTGATGCGGGCGAGCTGGGGATTGATTTGTGCTGAGCGAAGTACGTGCGCCTTGTCGAAGACGGCCGCAGAAACAGTGTAAAGGCGAGAAATGGAGCGATAACTTTTGAGGGGGTAGGATGGGTCTGTTGCGAAGTCGTGATTGTAGAGAAGACATTCAGCAAGGCTGAGGTGGCTGATGATTTGGTGCGAGATGCTCCGACAGGCAAAGGCGGTGACTATGGCCTATACATGAGGCGAGGCGATAGAATCGTGCCATCGCTCGTCCGAGACGCGCAGCAGCAGCAGCAGCAACAGCAGAACGCGTCATCAACAGGTCACCCGATGTCTGCTATGTTCCCGTCTGCCCCATGCGAATGAACCGCACTGAGTGCTCGCTGCCTTACCCGAGACTGCCCAGCCGCCGGTCGACACGCGATCAGACCCTGATCGCCGCAATTCGGGCGCGCTCGATCGTGGACCTTCCTTTTTGGGTTTGCCGATCTACGCGCCTTCGGTGAAATAGAAACGCCACTCGATTAATGCATGTCACTTCGGCCATCAGGCACTTTAGCCCACTTTGTTCTGCGCGTCGCACCTCAAAATCGCGTGCATGGACCGCGCGGATCTGGTGCGCGGCGTCGGGATGCTCAGCACGGCACACTCTTTCCCAACTTTGACAGGCGCATTGCTCGTGCACGTCTCGCGCACAACCCCCACGCTTATCCATGAGCAAGTCAAGGACGTGCACGAAGAAGGCGTGGGATGAGGCAAAGTTCGGGCGAGGTCGCGCACGAGCCTCCTCGTTTGGCTTTGCGCTGCATAAACGACTTGCACTCGCGACTTTGTATTTTACCATACATCTCCTCGGTCACTCGCCTGCTCACTCCTACGACGCGGTCGTACCATAGTATTCCTCGACACGCACTTCCATTTCCTTCGCTCCGGTTCACGATTCAAAAGCTGTGAGAATCTCTTCTTGCTTCTTGGCCAAAGGCGCCTGAGAATGCTTCGTTGATTCAGCACCCGTAGTTTGCGTTTGCGGCGCGCAGGAAATCGCCGCGCGAGCGGTTCGTTCAGTCTTCCAGACCGCGCATAGTCATCGATCGTACCGCGAACCTCTTGTGTGTGAGTGACGTCACTCACTTGATACGCAGCAACAGAACCCGCTTGGAGTCTTGAGTGGCTCAAAGCTCATTCTTAT